GGGGGGGGTTGGAATTGGGAGGGGCAAAAAGGCTGTGTGTGGGGGCTATGACCCAGAGACGTCCCCGTCTGGCTGCTCTGGAGGACAGGGCTGGTATTTGAGCTGGGGGGGCAGGGAGGGCGTGGGGGGACCTTGCTGGGGAGCGGGGCAGGGGCCGGGCTGGGCTAGGGAGGTTTCGTGGCCATGGGGCTGCCCCGGAGCTCTGCACTGACCCCCCCGGCTCCCCCCAGGTGTGACCAGCAGCCCTGGGATCAAGTCCCCCATTACCATCATCACCACCAAGGTCATGACCTCAGGCACGGGCGCCCCCGCCAAGATCATCACGGCAGTGCCCAAGCTGGGCACGGCACATGGGCAGCAGGGCGTCACGCAGGTGAGCGGGGGGTTTGGGGGCGCCGGGATGGCCAGGGGGCCGCCCCCTGCCCCGGCCTCACCACCTCTCTCTCCCCTCCCGGCAGGTGGTCCTGAAGGGCGCGCCTGGCCAGCCCGGCACCATCCTGCGCACCGTGCCCATGGGCGGCGTGCGGCTGGTCACGCCCGTCACCGTCTCCGCCGTCAAGCCCACCGTCACCACGCTGGTGGTGAAAGGAACCACGGGTAAGGAGGCTTGGCGGGAGGCTGCGGGAGGGGGCTGGGCTGCAAAGCCAGGTCAGGGCACTGACTGGCTCTCCCTCCCCCCCAGGTGTCACCACCTTGGGCACCGTGACGGGCACAGTCTCCACCAGCCTGGCCGGCGCAGGGGGCCACAGCACCAACGCCTCTCTGGCCACGCCCATCACCACGCTGGGAACCATCGCCACCCTGTCGAGTCAGGTGATCAACCCGGCTGCCATCACCGTCTCCGCCGCGCAGACCACCATGACGGCCGCCAGCGGGCTGGGCACGCCCACCATCACCATGCAGGTAGGGCCTGCGCCGCCGGGGGGCGCTGGACGCGGGGCCTTTCCCCTTTGCGGGGGGGTGCCAGAGGAGGCAGCGGGGTACAGGGGTGGGTGCTGGGGGCAGGGAGGTACAGGGGGGCAGTGGGACGGGGGGTGCAGGGGGCAGTGGAACACTGGGCGGTGGGATAGTGGGGCGTGGGGAAGGGGGCAGTGGGGTACAGGGGGCAGTGGGACGAGGGAAGGGGGGAAGGGGGGCAGGGGGACATGACGTCCGTGGGGCACGGGCCCAGCCCCTCACCCTGCCCGTCTCCCGGCCCCCAGCCCGTCTCCCAGCCCACGCAGGTGACGCTGATCACGACGCCCAGCGGGGTGGATGCCCAGCCGGTGCACGACCTGCCAGTCTCCATCCTGGCCTCGCCCACCACGGAGCAGCCCACGGCCACGGTGACCATTGCCGACGTGGGGCAGGGCGACCCGCAGCCCGGCACCGTCACCCTGGTGTGCTCCAACCCGCCCTGCGAGACCCATGAGACTGGCACCACCAACACTGCCACTGCCACCGTCGTGGCCAACGTGGGCGGCCTGACCCAGCCTGTGCACTTTGTGTGTGAGGGCCAGGAGACCGGGCAGCCCAACGGCGGGTTAGTGCGCGTCTGCTCCAACCCCCCGTGCGAGACGCACGAGACGGGCACCACCCACACGGCCACCACTGCCACATCCAGCATGGGTGCTGGACGAGTGTGCAGCAACCCCCCGTGCGAGACGCACGAGACGGGCACCACCCACACGGCCACCACTGCCACATCCAGCATGGGTGCTGAACGAGCGTGCAACAATCCCCTGTGCGAGACGCACGAGACGGGCACCACCAACACTGCCACGACGGCCACGTCCAGCATGGGTGCTGAACGAGCGTGCAACAATCCCCTGTGTGAGACGCACGAGACGGGCACCACCAACACGGCTACCACGGCCAGGTCGTTCATGGGGCGGGGTCAACCGGATGGTGGCATGGTAGCCCCGCCCAACCCGCCATGCCAAACGCAGCACACCAGTGCCACCGGCACCACGATGTCGGCAAAAGCCGGTGTGTCCACAGAGCAGCCGTGCAGCACCAGGATGGCGAATCCACCCCCGGCGGTGCCTGGCACCAACGCACAATCCCCGGCGCCGGCTGGCCGGCCCTGTGAGGCTCACCAGACCCACACCACCAACACCGCCACCACGGCCCGGTCGCTCATGGGCCGGGGGCAGCCGGACGGTGGGCCAGGGGCAGCCGAGAGCCCCCCGTGCCAAACACAACAGACTTGTGCCACTCACACAACCATGTCGGCCAAAGCGGACGTGCCCACGGAGCAGCCATGCGGCGTGAGGATGGTTGCGCCAGACACGGAGGCCGGTCAGCGAGCGCATGTCAATGACTCTTGTGAACTGGGTACCATGGCCACGTCGAGCTTGGGCACTAGGCGAGCGTGCACGGAGCCCCCGTGCGAGACCCACGAGACAGGCACCACCACCACAGTCACGTCGAACATGGGCGCCGGGCGAGCGTGCAGCAACCCCCCGTGCGAGACACACGAGACAGGCACCACCACCACAGCCACGTCGAGCATGGGCACCAGGCAACCGTGCACGGAGCCCCTGTGCGAGACCCATGAGACAGGCACCTCCACCACAGCCACGTCGAACATGGGCGCCGGGCGAGCATGCAGCAATCTCCCGTGCGAGACGGGCACCACTAACACGGCGACCACTGCCACATCCAGCATGGGCGCCGGGCAAGTGTGCAGCAACCCCCCGTGCGAGACGCACGAGACGGGCACCACTAACACGGCGACCACTGCCACATCCAGCATGGGCGCCGGGCGAGTGTGCAGCAACCCCCCGTGCGAGACGCACGAGACGGGCACCACCAACACGGCCACCACGGCCACATCCAGCATGGGCGCCGGGCGAGTGTGCACTAACCCCCCTTGTGAGACGCACGAGACGGGCACCACTAACACGGCCACCACGGCCACATGTAACGTGGGGACGGGCCAGGCTGAGGGGGCCCAGCACGCCCCTGCCAGTGTGCCCTGTGAGACACAGCCGACCACGGCCACCGGCACCACCATGACGGCCAGCATGGGGGGAGCTGGGGCCGAACCCCCCTCCTCTGCCCCCCAGGAGACGGAGGGGGCAGGGCCCAGCCAGCCCCAGTCGCCTCCCACAAACCCAGCCCCACGCGTCTGCTCCAACCCCCCCTGCGAGACCCACGAGACGGGCACAACCCACACGGCCACCACTGTGACCTCCAGCATGGGCGCCAACCACGGTGAGCACGGGGGGCAGGGCATGGGGCCTGTCTCCTCTAGGGGTCATGGCTCTAATCCAACCCCAAGGGGGGTGGGGGGGGCTGGGAATGGGGGTGTGGGGGTCTGTCCGGCGGGGGGAGGGGGCTGGGGAATGGGGGCGCGAGGCCTTTCCGGGGGGGGGGTGGCATTGGCTGGCTCTGGGGCGGGGGGGGCTCCCAGACTCTGATCTCTGCCCCCCTTTCAGACCAGCCGCCGGGTGCCAACGGGCAGGGGGAGCCTGAGGGGGCGCCGGGCGAGGCCCCCGCCAGCCCCAGCAGTGTCTCTGCCGCGCAGACCC